TTTAAATTGAGGCACAGAACAAGCAAGGCAGCCGCACACTGGTCCGATGATCACAGAGCAAGGCGAGGCTCACCAAGCCATTTATCTCGCTGCCCTTCAGTCAATCCCACTTGTGTTTATCAGCCAGTCCGGCACAATAAACTATCTCACTAAGTTATATGTTTATTCCACTGATGCCATAAGAGCCTTAGTGGAGTAGTAAGCTGCTACACCTTGAACTTCTAACCACAAGATCAGTGGTTCAAACCCCACTGTGGAAGAGGGATGAGGGTATCTGTTTCTGTAAAGACTCAGACAACCAAAGGGGCAGTTCTACCCTGTTCTATAGGGTCACTATGAATCAGAATCAACTCAATGACAGTGAGTTGGGTTTTACTGATTTCTGCCAGAGTACTTTTTAATTCAAATATCACTTTGAAAAAAAATGCACCCTTTTAAACATTGCAGGAACTCACATATTCTTCATTAGATTCAACCATTGTCAATATTTTGCCATATTTGCTTTATCCATTTTTACATGTATAGATGTTATAACATTTTATATGTAATAGTATATAAAATGTATAGTATATTTTGATGATTTTTTATTTTTGAGGAACTGAGAGAATATTAAAGATAGTATGACTCTTCACTCCTAAACTTGGTCCCTTTCAATGGTCGAATTAGGGTTGTCCCAAAGAACCAGAGGTTGATGAGCCAGATGCAGGATCCAGACCCAGTAAAAAGCAAGCCAGTTTTGAGACTGTCCAATTATATTGGAAGCAGCAGATCATGATCCTGGGAAAATGTCCTTTTAATAGATTGCATTAGAGCTGTAACCTCAGTAAAAGTGTTGTGTGCAATCCTATCTTTTTTTTAATTAGGTCCCATTACAGCTGACTACTCGCTCTTAAATACCAAACCACTGGAAATACTGGCCCAGTCAAGTTGACACAAAACCGTAAGTATCATACTCTAAATCTCTAGCAGTTCCTCACTCATTGTCTTCCATGACTGTTATGTTTTGAATTATATTCATGCCCCCCAAACCGTATGTGTCAATTTGGCTAGGCTATGATTCTAAGTCCTATGTAATTTGTGACCAGATGCAATTATCCTATATGTTGCAAATCCTAACTCTACAATGTTAATGAGACAAAAATTAGAGGAAGTCATGTTAAGGAGGCAGGATTCAATCTACATGACTAACATACCTCGAGTCAATCTCTCTTTAGATATAAAAGATATTAAATAAACAATCCGAGATCGAAGGTACCTTCTACCATCGAGAAAGAACAGTCAGAAATAAACCTGTCCGTTGAACTTGGGGCTCCTGTGCTGAGAACCTCCTAG